CGCGATCCCCGGCGGCCCCGGATCCGCGCGCCCGGCCGCGCCCACGCGCCCTCCCCCTGGCCGCCGCCGCGGTTGCTATGCGTTGCTGCGAAACGCCTGTCAATAAACCCTGTTTGGACAGTGGAGAAAGAGCACAAGGGTTGTTTGCTTAGTGGTTAGAGGTTCAAAAGTCGGCATTGTCCCGCTGCGAGCGATCCCCTTCCCGGGGCTCGGCCCCTGGCGCGCGGGTCGGGGGCCGGGGAGCCGCGCGCCACGCTGTGTCACCTCCAGAGGGGGCAAGGGACGGGGCGCGAATGGGCAGCGCCGTCTGGGGAGTCCCGGTTGGGCTGCGCGGGGGCGCCCGGGGGCACTTGGGCCGGATGACCTCGCGGGCGCCACCGGGAGCGCCGGGCTGGTAGGGGGCCGCGGAATTCCCACGGCCCCCGCACGCCCTGGTTTCGGCTCCGGCCGCCAGGGGGCGCGCGCGCGCTGGGAAGAGACGGGACTTGGGCCCGGGACCAGTAAAGGGCTCCCCTTTCTCACCCTGCTGGAAGGTGTAAGACCCGGGGTCCTCCCCGTCCCGTTGCCCACCGCCTGGTGCACGGCGAGGTTGCCCCACGTGGGTCCGCTGAAGCCAAGTTCAGGCCAAGTCAGGCGCGGGGGAGTCTTGGGTCTGTGGATGTTTAAGAAAAACAAATTTGGGGGAGAGGAGCTATCTACCAATCTAAGAGGCATTTTGCCCAAGATGTTTCTTTCTTTTAAAAAATGCAGGAATATGGGCATGGGATTAATATAGGGTCAAACTGGGAATTTAGTATAAATATGGAAATAAAATGTACCAGTATTGTGGAACTCACGTCAAAAACGGGAATCTAAAAAGACAAAACGGCCTGGGTCTTTCTTTCCCCTGTGAACAATTCGTAGCTTTACCAGATTCATCCCCTGAAGTTAACAAGATGGGCTGCGAATAAAAAAGCAATGAATATTTCAATGGGTTTCACTTCTTTCTAATAATATCTAGAAAGCAATGAATATTTCAATGGGTTTCACTTCTTTCTAATAATATCTAGAAAGCAATGAATATTTCAATGGGTTTCACTTTCTAATAATATCTAGAAAGATGTCTACATTTGTCCAGAGGATGAAAGTTAAATAGCAATCTAAATATATAAACAGCAATATTTTTTGCTGTTGTTATTCACAGCCACCCCGGGGGAGGGGGGATAAGAGAAGGAAATAAGCAGAAATGAAAGAATGGCAAGACAGACAATGTTATATGTTTCTTTAGGGTCACTATTCGCATCTTGTCTTGGAGGTGGGCTGCTATTTTCCAACTGAGTGACCTTGAGAGGTTACCACTTCCTCATCTATGACGTGGGGTTCAAACGAGGTAACATAAGGGAATGTAGCTTTCCTACACTTAGGATTAGACCGTCAGGACACAAGCAACTTCTTGAACTATCTTCTGCAGAGTGCACGAGCGTCCTTAGAAAGAACTTTTGAACAAGATAATTTCTCAAATTGCGATAGAATAACCCCTTCCCAGAATTGTTTCAGATGCATTCAGTTTTGCTTACTTTGTCCAAATAGCCTCAAATCTGTTATCCCTTGCTTGCCACTGCCCAAGCTTCTGTGCAAAATCTTGAGCAGGACAGCATTAACTAACATTCCAGATATGAAGACGAGTTACTGATCTGCCTAGGTTACCTGCCCTTTTATTTACCAGAAGGGATGTGTTCCCAAACACATCTGGTTTCTAGTTGTACTTGGAAGAATCAAGATTACTTGACGACATAGTTGGGAGCCTTCTTATAATCGCTCAGGACAGTCTTAACCTACAAGGAGTGGAGCGGCAGATACCCTAGCTAGATGGCTTTAAAAATTTCTTTACTTTCAAACAATTTCTACCCCTCACTATTTCTATCTCTCACTATTCCTTCTAGAAGCCCTCCCCACCCCCACCCCCAAAGAGACAACTGTTGTTTTAATTCTCCAAAGCTGATTCCTCCCTAGAAGTCATTTTAAGGCAAACATTTTACTCCAGTCCCCAGGATTCTTCCTTACATGAAAACCGCAACAGCAGCGGTTGTGTAAAGTTAGTTTTTCTTTGGAGGATAAGAGAACCATTCACATCTAGCGAGTGTAGCTTAATTTGTAAATAATTTTTAAAAATTAACTTCCTAATCACACTTAGGATATAGAAACTTCCACCCCCTTAACCTCCACCTTTGGTCATTTTTCCTTTGCCTTTTTCTTTTTTGCCTCCTGGTTTTCTTAGAGAGGGTGTGTGATGATTTTTAGGAAACCAAGCAGGTTTTAGTGATGGCTGTGGGACAAGCTGTGTGACACCGAGCCAGAACAATCATGCAGTGTCTTCGTTCCTTAGCTACAAATCAGAGGACATATATATCTCCTGGCTTTCTAGAAGGCTGCAAAATGAGATCTAGAAAAAAATTCTCTGATTCCAAATAAAGAATCTTTCAGTTTCAGAGCTGATACCAATATTTACCTTGACATTTTTCTTGAAGGAACGAGTCTGGAGAAGGTGGGGACAGGCACTTAGGTGACCTTTCGACTCCTGTGTCTCCAGTGCCCAAACATGACATTTGTTTTAACAACACCGCTTCCAAATTGGAATCTGTCATTAACCGCAGTAGATACAGATAATATCAACTAGGTTGCCTGAGCCCCAAAGTTAAACGACAAGTTTGTTCTTTCTGCAGGATCCTGGCCATTCCATGATAGAGATCTAATCCATAAACCACAACACAACCAGTTTGGCTCCAGGAGACCTTCCTGCGGTGAAAAGATTACTAAACCATCCTTTCACTCACAAGCCATTTACTTAAAACATAGCATTCATGTCAGGTATTGGGTTTGGATGGCCAAGGTTTTATTGGGAAGTGGGAGCCCAAGCAGTTCATGCATTTGGATATTTGAGTTTTAACTTCTAGGAAAGGAATTCTTCCCTAATTACCCATACGTTATCTCAGAACTTTCGGGATTGACAGACTGCTCCTATAACACTTTGTATCTGAAGTATGACAATCACAGGTTTTATACACGTGGTAGTTGGTAAATTCCTCTCCAACCTCAAGAAACAATGTAGAAACTGCTGGCATTGTAGTACAACCATACAA